TGTAAGGATGTTTGGTGAACTGCTCTACAGTGCTGTCTCGTTATTGTAAGCTGTGTCTTCAATAAAATACCTGCAGAAGGCTGTGAACCGATTCAAGTCATACAAGTCTTTTTTCTTTCCTGGCTGGCTTACTACTTATATTGAAAAAGACTCGTATGACTTGGATCGGTTCACAGCCTTCTGCGGGTTTTATTGAAGACACAGCTTACAACAATGAGACAGCACTGTAGAGCAGTTTAAAAAACATTCTTATACTCATCCTCAGACAAACATTATACCTAACTTTCCATGTGTGTGTATGTGTGTGTTTGTGTTGTCCTGCCATTTCCCAGAACTTGTTTCACCATCTCAGTGTTTGCCAGGTCACTTTCACTACCACAACAGGCAAGAACATGAGGTGGGGAAATTGCAATCCCGTTTTTCTAGGGGTGCATACATTTAACAAAAAGGTATGCAAGTGTTTGTTTCACTGTTTTTTTAATGCAGCTACACAATGACAAGTCTGGTGATGAGTTCAGACCTTAATACAGTCACGGCTCAGTCCAGAAGCAGGGACCTTGGAGAGGTAGGTGGACAGGTCCTGGTCAATGTATTCCAGCACCAGAGTGAGGTCCAAGCTCCTGCCCACTGGCACAGCAGATGCATCCAACAGCCTGGACGTTAAAATCAGCATGGGATTTTAAAAAAAAAAAAAAAAAAAAACATAACAAGAAAATATGTACAGCTGTGATTTTGTGACCAATGGCTTTTATCAAATATGGAGCACTCTATATAGCAAAAACCAAACATAAAAGGCCAATTTTTCTATAATTAAAATAATGACTGACCTACCATTTAATTCTTGTCTATCCTCTTTCTTTTGGTGTCAAAAACATAGGGCTGGGTGATATGGATAAAATCAAATATCACAATATTTTGGACCAAATACCTTGATATTGATATTGCTACAATATTCTAGGGCTGACCACTGGTGCTTTCACAAAATGTTCACAATGAGATTTTTAATAAATAACCATCAGTAATATAGACATAATGACTAAGTGAAAAGCTAGAACAGTCTGGTAAATTCAGACAACACTTACGACATAACGATACCTGAAATCTCAGGCAATATCTTGTCTTATATCATGATATTGATATAATATCGATATATTGCCCAACTCGACAAATAACAGAGACAAAAATAAAATATAAGAAATGTGTTTTTGGTTTCCTTATTTCTCTTGACAGGGACACAAAAATCATGACAGTTGAAGAATCACCCTCAAATCAACTCTTCTTTAAAACAGTTTTAACAAAAACTGAACATTGTACCTTTCATGACTGATTTACTGCAGGACTGTTGTATCACTGCATTAGTTTTAGTAGGGATGCACAATAATAACGGCATGTCATCAGTATCAGCCAATATAGGCTTTAAAATGAACAATCAGAATTGGCCAACATGCTTTGAAAAGCATTCTATTTCATGTCTCAATCTGCTGGTGGGCCATCACAATGAGAGCATGCCTGTATACTATGACGTTAATTCCACTACAGAAGAGACTCAATGATCGCTAAACTAGGTAGGGAAAAAAGTGAATATATCAATATCGGTGTCGGTTATTGGTCAAATGATTTGTTATACTCCTACTGGCCACTTATTAGGTACACCTCATTTACCCAAATAGCTAATCAGCCAATCGCATGGCAGCAAGTCACTGCATTTAGGCATGTAGACATGGTCAAGACGACCTGCTGAAGTTCAAACCGAGCATCAGAATGGGGAAGAAAGGTGATTTAAGTGACTTTGAACGTAGCATGGTTATTGGTGCCAGGCGGGCTTTGTCTGAGTATTTCAGAAACTCCTGATATACTGGGATTTTCATGCACAACCATCTCTAGGGTTTACAGAGGATGGTCTGACAAAGAGAAAATATCCAGTGAGCAGTTCTTGGGGTGAAAATGCCTTGTTGACGCCAGAGGTCAGAGGAGAATGGCCAGACTGGTTCAAGATGATAGAAAGGCAAGAGTAACTCAAATAACCACTCGTTACAACCAAGGTCTGCAGAAGACCATCTCTGGACGAACAACACGTCAACCCTTGAAGCAGATGGGCTACAGCAGCAGAAGACCACACCAGGTGCCACTCCTGTCAGCTGAGAACAAAAAACTCATAGGGGCTCACCAAAACTGGACAATAGAAGATTGGAAAAATGTTGCTTTGTATCAACAGCTCAGGCTGGTGTTGGTGGTGTAATGGTGTGGGGGATATTTTCTTGGCACACTTTGGGCTCCTTAGTACCAACTGAGCATGGTTTAAACACCACAGCCTACCTGAGTATTGTTGCTGACCGTGTCCATCCCTTTATGACTACAGTGTACCCATCTTCTGAGGACTACTTCCAGCAGGATAACGCACCATGTCACAAAGCTCAAATCATCTCAAACTGGTTTCTTGAACATGACAATGAGTTCACTGTACTCCAACGGCCTCCACAGTCACCAGATCTCAATGCAATGGAGAACCTTTGAGGTGTGGTGGAACAAGAAATTCACATCATGGCTGTGCAGCCGACAAATCTGCGGCAACTGCGTGATGCTATCATGTCAATATGGACCAAAATCTCGGAGGAATGTTTCCAGCACCTCGTTGAATCTACGCCACAAAGAATTAAGGCAGTTCTGAAGGTAAAAGAGGGTCCAACCCAGTACTGGCAGGGTGTACCTAATAACGTGGCCATTGAGTGTATCGGCATATTGGGTATCGTGCATCTTTAAATGTTACTCAGGTGTACCTAATAAAGTGAGTGTATAAGGCCTGAGCTCACTTGACTATGTTGGGATGGTTGAAGTACTTCATTTTACGCAGCAGCGCCACCTCGCGGATGATGAAGGCAGGGATCCCGGTCTCTGACGTGTCCTCGAGCATGTTGAATTTCTTCACCGCCAGGAGGCGCTGTGTCCCCCCCGCCTCTCTGGCTTTATACACCTTACCGTAGGAGCCCTCTCCCACCTCTGCCAGCAGCTCATAGCACAAAGGTTTAGCGTAGACGTCCATGGTCCTCCAAATTCAGGATATTTTAACCTGAACTTTGTAGATAAAAGTCTGTTTAAGGAAGACAACAGTTAAATATGGTACTTTTTTTCTTTCAACAGTTAGTTCAACTCACAGAGTAAGCTAGCTAACGAAGCTGAGTCAATAGGTGTGTGCAGGTTAGCTTAGAAGGTAATTATCACCTGTCACACACCAAACCACCTGTAATAACATTATTTTTGACGCAGTTAATAAGCGGTCATTTTGCTCTTGTTGGAGCAGCTATGGTGTTTTTACTTTACCTCAGACTGAATAGCAGACCGTCTCCCCCATGCCGCCTCCTGCAGGAAAATGTAGCCTTACTGTATGGTCACAAAATCACACCCCTTTTATTTGCCAACTAATCAGAAAGCTCAACATCTACAATGCAGTGAGCCCACTGGTTGTGCACGTGCTCCCTGCTGCTGTCAGTCACTGTCAACAGATGCTGCGTTCATGTGCAGACACTTTGTCGGGTTTAGTGCACAAACAACGCATATAAACAAATAAACTTCTATGTCGGCAGATAAAACGACTTTGCTTTGTAGTCAATGGGCCACTTACAGTCAGTTTTTTGTTTATGTCTTAGTAATAAATAGCAAAGTGACTGTTTAATAATACTGAGACAGGATTTTTTTATTTAATTTCATGCCAACAACATGCTTAACCACACCCAAAATGCAGAGATGTGACATGGAGTGGTGCTATAAAAGTAAAAAAAATAAACCTGTCGACCAAATTTAATAAATATATACGTAAAACTTAAAAAAAGAAGAGTGATGAAAGAAGAAATGACCCAAACATTTTGCAAGTTAAAACAAGGAAATGACCTGGAAAAATTGCTTAAAAATTATAATAATTCAGTATTACAATTTAAATATTTAATTATAAGAATTATGAATATATATTTTCCTAGCTATTTTCTTTTTCCCTATCTTTTTATAATACTCAAAATTTACTCACTGCCTTTTTGCCATGTTTTTGAAAAAAAAAAAAAAATTCATCAATTTGCTCAGGGTTCAAAGGTTTAAAAAATTGCGAAAGCAGCACAAGAAAATTGATGTCACTCCAGGTTTCAAACCCCAGTCCCTTTTTACCAGCCCAGTGTGGCTACATATTTTGAATAAAGACCTGTGTCAGTTAGACACCTGGTCTGGTTGCCAAGCAGTTCACTTTTTTTATAGAAGTTCTTCAGATGTATAAAAGCAGGTTGTTGGCTACCTTAAATTATGTGGCCGTTCCTCGATTACCCTGTAAGTTATTCATACTCCTTTGGTCCGTAAGGGTCCTCAGATCAAAGGAATGAAAAGGGTTTTTCATAAAAATTAATCCAAGTTGTGAGTATTGTTTTAACAGGGTGAAGTTGGAGGGTTGTGTCCGTATCAAATGAATGATTCATAATTGATACATAATCCATCCATTTTCGTAACCACTTATCCTCTTGAGGGTCGCAGGGGGGCTGGAGCCTATCCCAGCTGACATTGGGCAAGAGGCAAAGTACACCCTGGACAGGTCTGACACAGAGACAGACAACCATTCACACTCACATTCACACCTACAGCCAATTTAGAGTCACCAATTAACCTGCATGTCTTTGGACTGTGGGAGGAAGCCGGAGTACCCAGAGAAAACCCACACTGACAGGTGAAGAACATGGAAACTCCATACAGAAGGGTTCCCTCCTGGGATCGAACCAGGAACCCTCTTGCTGTGAGGCGACAGTGCTAACCACTGCAATTTTTAAACAAGTCATATTCATACTGGTTTAAATAAACTATTTGATCATATTTCCCAATCTTTGCTGAGCAACAGTTCTGTGTAAAAGGAATTAAAGGCCTGTCCCAAATATAAGCCTGTTGATTTCAGTGAATAAAGCAAATAATAGCCCGGGCTATTAATTGAAGTTTTAAGGTACATGAAACATGAAAGACCAAACTGCAACCAATTCATTGTTTGTACCCTTTAATATTAAAATGGAGTGACATTTGTAAATATGTTACAATCTGAAAACCAAACACAACTCAGGCAAGGAGTTAATAGTAAAAATGTACGCAGCAAACTGCATATTTGGGTTTTAAAAGGTATTTGCATCGACAACTGAGGTCATGTTAGCTTTGGTAAGTGACTTCTGAAACAAAACCGAGGTATTCAATGTGAACTAAAGTAAGTACGCATGTTTTAAAGCATAGGCACTGCTTAATGGAGCTAGTTTGTGGCCAAAAGGCACCTTCCTGTTTGTATTTGTATGATGAAATGTGGTTCTCTGCTCTTGTGTGCTGTGAACCCCCTTACAAAGGGATTTTAGTGAGTGAGACATTCCCTTTACTACTCATCTATCACAGTGTATAACAATCAAGTGCTGAGGAGAAACTAGTTACATAGGTTTGTAAAGAAATTACAAAATAAATGTCTTGTAATCAGTCACTGTTACTGAGAAAAAACATGTAATTAAATTACATTTACTAATCAAAATGTTGATGATTACAAAAAGGCTACATCTGAATATTACCTTTTTAGAATAAAACGTTCACTCTGTTTTTCGCAATGCACAAATGCTGTCTTCTGTTATAGCCTATTTCTGGACTTTTGACAAGTGATCAAAAGTAATCCAGTGTAATAAGTTACATGACTTTGATGATGTAATTATAATAATTACATTACTTATTACATTTTTCACAGGTTAACTGGTAATCTGTAGCTTACTACACTTCCAAAGTAACCTTCCCACCACTGACGGTCGCTCAGCTGAATGTTTTCAAGCCGTTACTCTCCTTTCAATTTGTCATTCATTAATTTAGTCTTCTTTGCCAAGGCGATGGCATCCAGGTGGAGGTTGCGGTTGAGAATGACCGAACCACAGGTGAGAGCTCCAGCGAGAGCACCAGCGAAGCCACACATGAACACATCCTGACCTGCAATACAAAATACATGAAATGCACCAAATTAAGATGACACTATGAAATCATGTCAGGGATTATTGGCGATTCGGACTGACAGACCAACCTGTCAGGTAGAGGTTCTTCAGTGGAGTCTGAGGTCTCACTGTTGCATTGAGTTTCGGGCTGAATCGGGCGATGCCATGATCCGCTCCGTAGATTTCACCTTTGGGGGCTCCGATATAGTGCGTGTTTGTGATCGGGGTGCCAGCATCAACATACTCAATCTACACATAAAAAGGCATGTGATATGTGATGTAAATATTTTTGCTAAAGCAGGAAAGCAGGCCTGGTTTAAGACTTCAGTATCACCATCTACATTTAATCAGCAATTTAAATATGAACTGATTCAAAAGGTAATTAATTTAAAGCAATTGTATACAGGTAGCTTGGATTTGAAAGTGGTCGGCATTGTCTCAAGTCTTAGCTCTTCTGGCAATTTGTTGCACATTTGAGCAGCACAGCTTCAAACAAGTAAATTTAAGGCAGTGGGGGCAGCATACATAACAGCAGTTCTCCCTGGTTCGGACTTTGGAAACTGTCATTACATAAAGACGATGGCAGGCAGATTCAGAAACGTTACCTTGTCTCTGGTTATCTTAGGGAAGACGTCCATAACCACCTCCAGGATAGTGTCAATGAATGTCTGTTTCAGCTCTTTGTAGTCAGGCCCTCTGTTTGTCACTTTGCCGTCCTTCCACTCCTCAAACCACTTGTAGTTGGCAAAACTGACCAGACTCACGGTGGACTTCCCTAATGTGAAGAAAATATGAGAATATTTTAGGTAAACCAGACCTACCAGCACTATAAAAACTGACATGCTGCATCACATGACAGTTTTTGTACCTGGTGATCTTTCCTCCCAGGTCGGATCTTTAGCAGATGGAGACGCAACAAACAGGAGAGGTATGTTTCTGGCAGAGTCTTCTCTTTTTCCATTCAAATACTTCTCCACCCTGTAGAAGAAAAGAGGTAATTTTGGTGAATTAACACAGATGTAATATAGCTGATACATTTGTACATTTCTAATTAGAGATATCTCCTATTGAAATACTGCACCAAAACGTCCTCCCTACGGTCACTGTTACTTCAGTGTGTTTTTACAGTGAGTAAAATCTCAACAGTCCATGTGTATCTTTGTTTCTCTCAGACACATTGTATTATATTAGAGTGACTTTAGGTCCAAATAAAGTTTAGAATTATATCTTTCCTCATTCAAGCATGAGGCATTTTGAGATTTGCAGGTTTAGTTTAAGTGGCCAAAACTTCAATAACTAAAAAAAAAAGACCTTGCAAACTAAATAGAAGCTTTTTAGGAGTCAGGTCTGAGTTTGAGAATAACTCAACTGTGAATTGTTACAAGTAGGGATGTCAGTCTTCGTTAATTTTGCTTTTGCTAGCCTGACACCCACTAACTGGTAGCTAACCCATTCATTTTTAAGACATTGACTCTGAGCTTTAGCACCGTATTTGAAAGAAGCATCCATTAAAAGGTGGTGAAATTTTTATGTTTTTTGATGTAGTCTTGCCTTTTCTTTTATTATCTGTTAGCTTTGCTGACAGAGAGCCAGCTACTCATGTTAGCATGCAGAAATGAATCGTCCACTGCCGACCCTCTGGTCTCTACTGATTAGCTAACATTAGCTTTTGCTAGCATTAGCTGTTTGGCCAATCTGCACTGTGCACCACTTGAGTCAGGTGGGAGCTAGCTAGTGACGCCATTCATTCACTGCAACGGAAATATGGTGACCACCTTCCTGTCTCCCCCCAGGTATCCCCGGTGATTAAGCGGCTTCATTTTGAGACACAAAACTCCCTTTAGCACAACTAGCCATGCTGACACTGCTAACGGTGCTAACAGAGCTAACAGTGATAACATGGTTGAAATTGCTAAAGGGGGTTTGTGGCTCAAAATTGGGCCACTTACTCACTTGGGCACCCTCGGGGGAGACCAGATGGAGGGCAAGTTCCCTTAGCAATGCTGTTGGGTCAAGACAGTGTCACTAGTAGTAATCGCCAAATGACCAGTGCCTCTAGCTGACTCCACTCAACCCATCTGGTGCACAGCGCAGTAAACTTAAGAACAGCTAAATTAACCTATAGACCAACATGCATAACCGGTCAACCAATTAACAGTTATCTGTTGACATCCATAGTGACAGGAAACAGACACAAGATGCAAACCAACATACAGTTCATCAAAATTGTTCTCGGCAAAGATCCAGTAGTTGTCTGCTTTCAGGCCCAGCTCCTCCTTGGTTCCATTCAGACCCACAAAAACACTCAGGCCACCTTCACCGTTCTTCATCATACCCAGCTGCTCCTGGATAGCTACATGATACGAGTGTCACATCATAAAGGACAACCTTAACACCAGTTCACAGGTTAAGCTAACATGAAAACTTCACTAATAAGCAGACGAAGGGTTAAGCAAATTACTTACAAATAAAAACATAATTTAAAAAAATGGAAATAATCATTAGTTGCAGCACTTCTCTCGTACCTGGCATGGCCTGGAGCTCTTTGGGCAGCAGCTTCTGGTAGGTGTTGAAGATACCAGCATTAGAGATGACCATAGGGGCACGAATATGGACCTCCTCTTGGCCTTTCATGACGCTCACACCTGAAAACATGAAAACAAACAACAGACATGAAGCAGCTCCCACTGAGAGATTAACGGTTTGTTTCTGTATAGACACATGGAGGAGATTACACCCACCATAAGCTTCCTTGGCATCATTGAAGAGAATGCGGTTGACTGGGGCTCGGACTAGAACAGCACCACCAGCCTTCTCAATGATGGGGATCATGTGGTAGGCGATTTCAGTGGCTCCACCTTTCGGATACCATGCACCGTTGAGGTAGTGCGTGACCAGCAAGCTGTGCATGGAAAAACTGGAATCTTTCGGCATGTTACCTGCACATCGGAGAACGAAATGAAAAAGATGAAGACAGCACTTTGGAAATACACTGATTAGAATGACAGAACCGTAGCTCCGCCTACCGTAGGTGCCAAAGATATAGGTGAAAACAGCCCTGAGGTCCTTGTTCTCCGTCAGTTCGTTAACCACTTCTGTCAGGCTGCGAGGTGCCATTTCAAAGAAAAAGGACAGGCGTTTGGCCAGGCCGGTGTAGACCAGGAACTTGGCCAATGGGACGGGACAGGTCTTCAGCAGAGCGAGGAGCCAAATGCCCCGACCAACTTTCTAAAGACAGAACACACAAGACACACAGATGATGGCTAGTGTAATAATAATGATAATAATAATAATAATAATAATAATGATAAAAGCTGTAACTGTAGCTTAATGAGCATAGCAGCTTAACATTACTTGTTTTCAAGGATACTTCAGTGACATTTAGAATATTTAGAATACCAGCAGCAGAGGACCTCTGGGCTCTTGTTGGCTGATAAGGAGTTAAAAAAGTCAGGGGCTGTATTCACAAAGCTTTATAGTCGTGGCGAAAGACAATTCTTAGAATTCTTATGTTTTCTCAGAATTTAGAGTTTAGACTAGGTCCTGGTAAATAAAAAAGTTATTTACAAAGCACCTTAGCCCTTAAGAGAGCACCTAAGGGGAAAAACTGTTTGAACATTTTGGGTGACTTTAATGAGTTTTAAGTTGTTAAGCGGAGGAGACGATAGCAGAAATACAAAGAGAATAACACTGACTGACATACAGATAACAAAACACTACAGATTAGATCATGCAGGGATAATGTTTGTGGCCGATCTTATTAGAAATGCGGTCACATCTCCCACCCAACGCAGCAACAAAATAATGCCAGAAATGAAATTATCACAACACCGTCTCAACCTTCCATCAGCAGAGTGATCACACTAACAACTACAGCGCTTTTACAGGCTCACATTGTGATGCAGTTTATGTTATTTCCACACCTTGCTGGCTCACACAGGTGCATAGCAGGGACAACTTATCACACCTTTTAAAAGAATGCATCATACCTAGCAACAGGTTCAACCACATGTGCTCTTAGTCAGAAAGTCGTTTTGTTTCTGTAGTGATCCCACCCATGCTTCCCAAAGAAAACACTGCTGGGTTGTTTATTCAGAGGGTTTTGGATGTACTCTGACTATGTTTCATGACATTTAAATTGTTGTTCTAACATTTGTAAGATTTGATTAGAACATCAGACATTGGCTGTGTGAGGATGCACCTAGTATAGAACAATACGCGTAGATTTAACCTATGAAATGGCAGATACTTATTAGACATAATGTCGTAGGCCCGTGAAAAAGTGAATGTTATTGTGTCATGGTGGCGGCACAGTGGTGCAGTGGTGTCGCCTGGTTTAAACTCGCCGACTGGCTGGGGTATGTTTTCCTCATGTCAGCGTGGCTTTTCTCTGGGTTCTCAGGCTTCCTCCCACAGTCCAAACACATGCAGATGTTAATTAGTGACTTTAAAATGCCCGTAAGTGTGATCGTGTGATTGTGAACGTGAATGGTTATCTGTCTCTATCTGTCAGCCCTGCGATAATCTTGCAACCTATCCAATGTCTACCCCTCCCCTGAACAGGGTTAGCAGTTACAGATAATAGATGGATGTTACCATAAATCCCACTACTCAATTTATTTACTCAACTTTTAATGAATCTTTCTTTTCTTTTTCTGTCTTTTTGTGTTTGTTCCTGTTTATTATAATGATGAATAATAGGTTGAACAAGAGCAGATGCACTAGATGGATCTCACAAAGATAAAAAAGATGGCATTCCTTTATCTGTGTGTCAAAGACAAATGTTGCAACTCTGCGTTTACTGTTATGTAATGTCAGCTAATAAGGGGCTTTGACAAATACTCTGACCTTTGATTTAACAACCTTTGAGTCCATGAAGAATATCAGTGATGACATCAACAGAAACCTGGATAATCAAGCCTTAATGTGTTAAAGTACAATTCATAAATGCACAGTTCACCGGGGGAAAAGGCATTTTGCACTTCAAATAAGTACAGGAAGGAACTAAGTGGCTTGATTATCACTGAAAAAAGACCTTGTATGCCAAGTTTTTGCGTTGAAGCTGCAGGTCATCAACATTTTGTCCTGATGCTTTAAACCACCTGATCACAGTCTGTAATGCAAGCAGAGCCTACCTTGACCAGCCTCATGTACTCATCGATGGCCTTCTCCTCTCCAGGGAAGCACTTCTTCAGCTCCTCAGGGAAGCGTGTCCTGCCGCTGTAGATGGGATACTGGCGGCGGTTTTCTGGAGGTCCCAGAACTACTTGGTCGAATGGATTTTCCAGAGGCTCCCACTGCAGCTGTCCATTAGTTATTTGGTCCAGCATGCAGCGGAATGGCTTGTGATCCAGCAGGTCACCGATGTAGTGGATTCCTGAGGAAGGAGAGCGGGAAACATGTGGACACAGCACGGTTTTATGTGACCAAACCTTAAATATTGAAAGTTATTTTAAAATCAGTCTATAAAAGATTCCCTCATCAAAACCTTCACAATATCTTCTTAACATTAGGTGTGAAATATTGAAGAAAGGAAACAAGAGTCATGTTTCTCACCAACATCAAACTCAAAGCCCTTCTCAGTGAACGTGTGGCAGCATCCTCCAGCTCGATCGTGCTGCTCCAGAACCAGGACTTTCTTTCCAACTTTGGCCAGGAGCACCGCAAGGCCAAGGCCGCCGATCCCACTGCCGATGATGATGGCATCCAGGTTTTCAGGTACTTTACTGGCCACAAAACCTGAAGAAAAAGGCAAAGAAACATTCAAACAACAGCATGGCTGTGGCATAAATGGCATGATAACAATAAATCTGAGGATTCCAGGAGGAGAACAAATGTTTACTCTATAGTCAACTGACATAAAATGCAGAAATGCAAGTTTAACTGGACATTACTTTTAGTCGTAAGGCCACATTTAGGGTTGCAACGGTAGGAAATCTTTACAGTACACTAACTGTCTCAGAAAGTATCTCAGTTTCACGGTATTACAGTTTTATTACTATCAGTCAGAATGACCCTTAAAGGAATGAAAATGGAAGGGTTATTTTTGGTTGAACAAATGTTAATAGTTGTTACTATACTTGAACCTTGAAACCATTTTCTAAATGGAAGTATGTGTAAGAAGTCCCCCTTTTAAAAAGGGAGACTTTCATCCAGTTGCATTTTTTTCAATGTCGTAATAAGCAAATGTACACGGTATGATAACTGTCAATTTTCATATCATAGTATACCTTGACATCAGTATACTGTGCCACAACCCTAGCCCTACCCATTACTAATTTGATTTGCAATCATGAAAATTCACTGTTTTTCTCTGTCTTATGCCATTGAAAACCTACTGTCCATTAAAACCTTCCAGCAGTCCAAAACTCAAATATATTTATTTTACAATAATATATGGAACATTTTTTGCTTTGCTTAATTTTTGCTTGGAAGATAGCAATTTATTTTGAAGTACAACCTGTGAGGGAAGTATGTAATGTATCAAATACAAAGTCTAGGGTTGGGTAATAACAGATCATATGCAATCAGGATTACATAATCATCTTACAAAGAATGAGTAACTATAATCAGACCAGACTGCATTTGAATTAATTTAGTTACAATGTCAGGAATTACATGATTTTATTTTAGACTGTGTCTTTAAAATATGGCAATTTTATAATTATGAAACGTTTTGGTTTTTTTTCTACAAGAACCAACACTCTCATGAAATGTTGATCTGAAATTGCAGATGATAGGAGATAAAGGAAAGGTGTTGAGTCCAGACTCTTTGTATTTGTATTCGTGGAACTCAAATTTTTGTGGCTGCACCCATTATATTTTGGTATAAAATGCAATATTTACATTATTTGATTTTAAAGTAATCTAAACTATTTAAATATGACTACGTTTATTTTGTAGCCCAATTTATTATGCTGCTAATTCCAAAAAGTGCAATGTAGTTTGTAATGTAATTTGAGTGAGTAACTAACTACAATTTAAAGCAACTTGATCCAACTTTGTATGAAAGTTGAACTTGTTTAGTCAGGTTTACAGTTAAAAACACAGCAATGTCCCTGGTCTCCATAGCGCACGTTGCAACACATTACTGCACACTGCAATACTGTGCAAAGTGTAAACTCCCCCACAGCCATATTCTGACACTTTGCCTGCTGCATTGACTGACTACAAAGAGTGAACACGTTACTTTGACGCTTTTACGATTTAAAGTATCAATTTCACATGGAAAAATTAACGTTAGGTAAAGATAACTCAACATGTTATTACTTCCGACCTTGGTCACTCACCTTGCTTCAGCACTTTATTTTTCTCTTTCCTGTCGTGAACCATCTTCTTCAACGGCTCGCGAGTGTCCGTCTCAAAGGGGTTGGGCCCGGAGCCGCTGAAGACATATTTAAATATAAATACGACTAAAGCGACAGAAATTATCACGACACTGACCAACATCGTTCCAGAGATTTGCTAACACTCCGCTCAGTGTGAGTTTAGTTCCGCATTGCACCCGTACAAATACCTCATTCATAATGGACAGAGATCTCCGACCAATTAGAGCTTTTCTTCCGGGATACACCAGCCAGCTTCAGCCAATCAGCATTCACCTCGGTGTTATAGCCACGCCTCTTTTTACAGCACAGAAATGAGGTTGAAACCACGGACTCACTGTTATATAATGTCTGCCTGATCTCTGGGTCCCTCATCAAGAATAAATATTAACATAAACAACAAAAACTATCACTAATATTATGTTTTTAAAAAATGCTCATAAACATTATCTTTTAATCAACTCTGAAAACATGCTTTAAAAACAATGCCTTCAGTTTAGTTTTACAAATCTCATCATATTTATTTATTTATTCATGCAGGTCATCCTGGGCCAGCCGGGGAGGGGAGTGAAGGATTAGACAGTGGGTCACTTTTTTCTTTCTAGAGTTTCGATAGCCAAATAATTTGTGAAACATATGGACACATGTAGATGCGATGCAGACATGATTTGTTGTTGATATCTTGCGAAGAAATTAAATAAAAATTTAATCACACACACACACACACAAAAAGTCTCATTAGTTTTATAAAAAGAAAAGAACATATAGAATACCAACTATATGGATGTTTTCAAAAGTCCTGCCTGTTGACTCTAATGCAAGATGGGGCCTGTTCCCCTGACAGCATGTGGGTTATGTGTCTAGAGGCAAGGTCCCAAGATCACTGGTTGTGAGGATAAATGCATCGGTGGAATGACTAAGTTTCATGATGGTAACCTGTTATGCTGAGGTGAACTGGAGCAGCTCAATGCATGATGAAGCAGAGGAGGTAAACATAGAGGGCTCTGGTGTCGATGGGCTCTGACAAAGGCTCCCAGGGAATGCCCAGCTGCACAGCCAAGGAAGAGTCCAAGAAATGTGCAACAGCTCCAGTGTCAGTGGGATGGCTCTATTAATCACAGCTGAGCAAGTAACAGGGGATGAGAGGGTGTTTTACAGTGGACAGTAAGGCTGACCAATGCCCTTTGGTTGACTGACTCCTTTTGTTAGACACTTTGAAGCAAAATGGCCTCCTTGGCCACAGTACAAACAACAGAAGAATATCTTTGGTTCTATACTGTATGTATTTGTTTACAATTTACAGAAACATTTGATTATAGACATTGTGCATAGTTGGTCATAGTTGTTGCTTTTAATCTTTTTCATTCATTCATCTTCTAACCGCTTCATCCTCTTGAGGGTCACGGGGGGGCTGGAACCTATCCCAGCTGACATCGGGCGAGAGGCAGGGTACACCCTGGACAGGTCGCCAGACTATCACAGGGCTGACACATAGAGACAAACAACCATTCACGCTCACATTCACACCTATGGCCAATTTAGAGTTATCAATTAACCTAGTCCCCAATCTGCATGTCTTTGGACTGTGGGAGGGAGCCGGAGTGCCCGGAGAGAACCCGGCACGGGGAGAACATGCAAACTCCGCACAGAAGGGCTCCCACACCCAGGATCGAACCGGCAACCCTCTTGCTGTGAGGCGAGAGTGCTAACCACCACACCACCGTGCCATATATTTAGTTGCATCTACTTTTTTTACCATCTTTGTTTGGCTTTGTTGTCTTTGTTTCTGGTGTTTTTAGCTGTATGCCTATTTCTATCTGTAATATTACTGGAATTATGTAGTAGTAGTAAAGTGGAGTCAAATTCCATGTATGTGTAGTGACTTAGCTGATAATCTTCATGTTATCAGCTAAGTGTATCATAGCATGTATACATGCTCAAAAAGACTGTTAGTTGAACCAAAAGCACAAGGTATCACTTGTCCGATGCCATTAGAAGAGAATTTTGCTGCAGTTTGCATGAGTAACTATTCCTGACCTTGGTCACAAGCTTTTCCAGAGATTTCCTCAGCAGAAATACCATCCACTGTTAGATCCAGCTTCAGTCTCCCATTTCCACTAATTTTAATGGTTGAACAGAGAGAGGTGACATGTTTCTGTATGACATAGAGTCCAGTCTCTGACATCCTGAGAAGTGGATGGAAATCGCAATCTGCAGATAGAAGACAAAGAGGGAGAAATCAGAGTGCCTTCGACCCCTAAAAGTTTAACGTCCACTTACTAGCTTTTTTCATAGCTTTCTTCAGAGGAAACAACATCCACTGAGGAAGACCATGAGATCCATTTAAAATCTATAGAAAAAGCTAACGTGCAGACCTCAACGCAAGATTTTTCTGCCTTCGTACCAGTGATAGCCATGGCTGGAAGTTTTATGTTTTCCTGTTGTCCATCCATCAATCCCAACACCTTGAGGGGAATTTTCTGAAATTTGGTTCAACTGTCCACTTTGACTGAATGATGGACTGATTAGACCACTGATTTGGTGGTCAAAAGTCAAGGCCACTGTGACTTCCATCTCGAGTATGTCCATCTCATCCTCGTAAACGCAATACCTCAAGAATGCTTTAAGGGAATTTCCTCAGATTTGTCATAAACATCCACTTGGACTCAACAATCAACTGAATAGAATTTGGTGGTTGAAGGTCAAAGGTCAAGGTCACTGTGACCTTATCTGTCTCATTCTTGTGAACAGGGTATCTCAAGAATACCTTGAAATTTCTTCAGATTTGGTACAAACATCCACTTTGATGAGGGATGAACTGATGGTCAAAGTCACTGTGACCTCATCTGTCTCATTCTCATGAACAGGATATCTCAAGAACACCGTAATGGAATTTCCTTAAATTTGGCACAATTGTCCACTTGGACTCAACAATGAACTGATTCATTGTGGTCGAAGGTCAAACGTCAAGGTCACTGGCCAAAGGCCAATTTCAGTGTGACATCATAATGTTTGGGCAAAAACACACCATAACTCTTGTCACAGATGAGAACATGTAAACTGAAACTGCAACTTGACTGGTGCACAGAGGCATAATAATAATTCTAGTGTTTTGTTTGTCTGTGGGTTTTTTTTTTTGGTTTGTGTTTTTTTGCCAGCGGCTTACTGCAACATTTAATTTCATATTGTTGTTATTTTGCGTCAATGTGGACCTTGACAAAAATCTTACAAAAACCTCACAGCAACTTCTAGATTTTATTTTTTTGCTCAAAAAAAAAAAAAAAAAAAAATCACCTGCATCTTCACATTCTTTTCCTGCATCATAACACCATGAGACCCATTATTCTTTTAGATCTGTTTGCAAATAGAGCCAACATGTTACATAAGAAACACTTTAAGTGGGGCATTTCCCCAGTCGTCATCACCACCCACTCTGCACAATGTCCTGGAAGTCCAGACTGCTGTTCACGGACCCAGGTTCCACATCCACTCTGCATCGAAACAGACTTTTAACTGATGTCACCTGCATGATCAGTGTGGAGCTCTAAATGCTGTATTAAGGAGAAATGCTATCTGCAGTGCTCATACTTCAAATTACGTAGGCTAATGACATTATTTTGTTTCAGTTTCTTGATAAAGCTGTGTCACATGACACAAAAACAGACCATGATCATTTCCCTATGAAGCTAAACAGTTTGTGATGTGTGCATTTAAACGTGTCGCCATATCCTTCAGTTCTGTGGGTGCATTTTTGTGTTTTATTACATTAAAATTTATGAATACTTTTAGTACTTTCTGTGTAATTCCCTTAACAAAGTCTGCACAATGAGCTCAAAACCACCTTCAAGCACTTTCGATTTCAACCTAAACTCTTGCAGACTTTTTGGGGACACATGTCAAAGCCTGAGAGACACTGAAACCGGAGCACAGTTAAATCAAGAGGAGTCAATACAAATCTGATCCCTGCTGAAATGTGTATTGAGTAAACCCCATCAGAATGCCTTCAACATCTGTGTGGATACTGATATCCCCCACCACCACCAACAGCTCTGTAATTAGTCTGTGTTTTGGTGCTTCTTCTGTTAGTGCAGTAAGCTACGAAAGATGGTCATGAAAAGTTAATACAGATGAGGAAAACTCCAAAAGGCATAAACATCTTTAAAGGTTTAAAGAAAAAAAAAGACACAGGGTCAAGCTTGACAAGAGAAATCTTAACAGAAGCCCTTATCTGGTGTCCACTTTTGGTATTTATTACCTCACCCTTTTGAGCCTTTTCCTCTTTAAAATATTTTTTGATCATTTTGATTTTTTTTTTTTTATCTCTAAAACTTAAGGATGACAGATTTATTTTAATTGCAAAAAGCGCCTCCAACATTTAGGAATAAAACAAAACAGTAGGTTCTAGTCTGTATGTGTTAGGGCATGATCCGCAGTCAGTTTGAGATTATTTACATGTACTGTACGTTTCGTAGGTATGCCGACAGTGAGTGTTTGATTTACAGTAATCTGTGCAAACTGTTCTTGTGTGTATGTGTGTTTGGTACAATCAAGACAGCTCTCAGATGAAATACAGTTGTTTGGGATGGTAACAATGGCTTAAGGTCCATGTGATCGAGGGAGGAGGAAGAGCAGGAAGACTCTCCCTGCCTCCCTGCCTGGCAGCGGTAGTGCAGGTCAAAGTTCAAAAGGTCAAAAAATAAAAATGGGCGGTGGGTTTTCCTTTCCTGAAGCAGGAAGTCATCAGTCCATCTGTCAGGTGGTCAATGCGATGGTGCCATCTCCTTGCCTATTGGTGTCACTTGATTATGGCGTAAAGGGATGTCACTGCAGTACCAACCCAACCTGAGAGAGAAGGAAAGAACAAAGTGGTTATTAGAAAAGCAGTTTGGGAAACCTAAGATTACAGGGTATCTGCAAGATGTTTCAAGACCTTTTTAACATAGAATGTAAATTACTTCTTCTTTCAAATTGGCCAAAGGCTGAGAGTATAATGGAAAACCAGTGGTGACAATAGGGCCTAGAATTATATATCATTTTGTCAAAATGTTTCAGTTTTCCCAACAGTACACACAGATGAGCCACAACATTAAAACCACTGACTGAGGTAAGGTGAATAAAAAAGTC